CAGCGTTCGACACGTTGACGGCCAGTTTGCGTGGAGGTCCATAATCCTGTCCGAGGACGTGTGGCTTTGGGCGCAAAGAGTGCACCAGCCTGGACAAGGAGTCGGCGTAGTGAGGGGCTACTTGTACTTAGGACCAAACGCAGTTACGGAGGCCGTGCTGAGCCTCGCAACGACAGGGACTACTGGCGTGGTTAGCAGGGCGTTATATTACCTGAGGGACGAGGTAGCTGCCTTCCGAGCGGAGGACTCGAGCGACCCGTTGACCCTATTTCACGGACGTCCTCCTCTAGATATCACGGGCGAGCTGGAGGTAGCCCGGAACGGGTTTTTCCCGTACAGCGTTAGGAGTTTGCGGGCGATAGTTCCGACGTTCGTAGTAGAGAGCGTCTTTGGAGGTATTGGTGGAGTGGTCGAGACATATCTAGCCTATCAGGATCTCCAGATCCTGGCGAGAAGGCCTGTCGACCTCGACTACATCTATTATTCGCTCGGGACCAGTGGGCTTCGTTGGGGTGACGAGAGGGTTCAACTTATAGAGCTGATCCGTTCGATAGACGACGAGTGGCTCAGTCTCCGTGCGTTTGGGATTGGTTAGACCGTGAGCTCCGAGCAGGCCCCGAGTACGTGACCTGCATCGGGCGACTCTTCTCAGACGACTGGGGGAGCTGGTGGAGTGAGGACGCCGGGCGACCTCTGATATATGGCCATCAGTTGGCGGAGTACTACCAGGTTATAGGACAGGCGCCATACCGCGTCGAGGACGAGTTTGACGACGAGGGTTGGGAGCGAGATGACGACGAGGACGCCTGGGAGCCAGACTGGGTCGACCCAGAGAGTGAGGTTGACGAGGAGGAGATTGACGTTACGGACGCCCATTTCCCCAGGATAGAAGTAGCAGTCCGGGCGTAGGAGGCTGAGCACATTAGGGCGGCGGTTGAGTGAGCCTTAGCTGCTGATATCGGCGGATAGTGGAGAGCGGATCGATGGTAGAGCAGGTCAGTGGAGTAGAGCTTCTGATCGACGACGCCAGATGGCCTAGGCCTCTGGAGACAGTAGCGCCAAGCAGGGTGTCGCTACATCTGCCGGCCAGAGGGGTTTCCGCGGATGCGATAGAGAGCCGATGGTCATCGACGGTCTTGGGCCCAGACGTGCACTTGTGGACGTATGCCATCGAGACGTTTGAGCTAGACAGTCAGAGGTGGCGACGACCAGACACGACTAGTATAGAGGTAGTGGGCCACATTTACTACTCACGGGAGGTGCTAGCCACAGTCTATTTTCACGGCATCGTGCACGATCATTGGCGAGAGGAGCAGAGCGCGAGGAGGATTTTACTGGCCCGAGCGGACTCCGCGCGGGGCGAAGTACAGCGGCTGCACGGGGGTGTTCGGGGAGTGACGACGACCTTGAAAATTGGAGGACACTTCCCATATCCTAGCAGTCGACTGCGTGTGACACTTCCGTGCTTTGTGGCAGAGGAGCTTTGGGGACTTAAGCGTCTGGGTGACATCTACTTTGCCGAGGGTATGCTGACAGGGACTGGGTGCTGTATGCGCAGTTTGTAGCAGGGCCGCTTGTAGGCGAGCGAGGGCTCCAGTTGATTGAGTTCATGCGGGCCATTGTACCTACCGGGAGCCCCGACCTGTATTCTCTGTACCAGCCCCTAGCCTTCTGGACGGCGCTAGAGAGAGAGGCTCGGAGGCCAACTGATCATTTAGCTGGATTGGGACAGCTGTTAGCAGAGACTCGTGAGGAGAGACCGGACCATCTCATCTCGACCGAGGAGGTTGAGGAGTATTACCAGCAGGTATATCCAGAGGGTGACGATCTTGCGTGGTACGCCGAGGATCGGGATTGGGAGGACTTCGATGACATAGACCCTTGGGGCGACCAGGACGAGGACTGGGTCTGGCGCGGTCTGAGGGACAGGAGCAGGTAGGTGGAGAGGCGCTGCAGGAGGACGGTTGGGGCCATCTCCTTCAGGCCTAGGGGCAGGAGGACATCCCATGGAGGCAGAGGGTAGATGAGGATACAGACGAGGATATGCCAGATGCATGAGACGACTAGAGTCAGGACAAATCCGAGTGAAGTTTAGAGAAGGGAGTAGTGGAGAGTATGGCAGACCGGGATATACTGAGGGTGACTCTTTCCCTACGACGAGATAGGACGGGCAGTTGGGAAGGAGAGGCGTTAGAGATTGTTGAGCGACAGATCAGACTCATGACGGAACATGCCCTGGAGATACGGAGAAGCCAGAGGTACGTCGAGTTTACTATCTACTTCCATGGAGCAGACGGGAGAGCGCACAGCAACTACTCGACCATACTGGACCTGAGTGGGAGAGTTGACAGAGGAGTTAGCAACGTCGAGAGATAGGGTGCGTCGGAGGGAGAAGAGTGATGCTGATCGAGAGTCGAGGAGAAATGAGGAGTGACTCAGTAGCCTGGTTAGCTTATATTCTCTTACGAGAGTCTGAATCGCATAGCGTGAGAAAGCTTGTGGGACCCAGAGAGACGGTGGTTGGATACGACATTCCTCTTCCCGTGACATTAGAAGGAACAGGGCGTGTTCCGATATGATACCTGGGAACGTGGCTCGCAGAGGGACTCTTCCTTTGGACAGTGATACTGAGAGATGAACGACCCGAGAGAACTCATGACCTAGAAGGGGTCGGACATCTGATAGCGGATAGAGCACACGATTTAGAAGTAGGACTGACGCTCGCAGGAGCAAGCAGAGCCTGGTGGAGAAGCGAGTCGTTGGCCAGAGTGATCGTTAATCAGCAATTGGCGAGACTCTCTGGAGGGAGGACGCATTGGAGCCGCTTGGTATACGGTCCACCACATCTGACCCTCTACCCGAGAGAGGATTGGCGATTCAGACTTCCTGCCTTCGTGATAGGGCCGACCTATGAGAGCGTAGAACGTTTGAGTAGAGCAGTGGACCACACACTTTATGCACTCTGGGAGGGCTTAGAACCCCGTTTCAGGGAAGTATACTACGCCATTTGTGTGAGGTGGGGACCGCCTAGTAGAGAGACGCTTGACGACATCATAAACGTTACTTGCTGGGAGGACTGTCTGAGGCCAGTCGATCTGATTACGCACTGCAGGAGACGGGCGGAGATCGATTACGTGGGGCTAGAGGATATGAGGTTTCTCTTCGAGGCTGCAGCTTAGGGAATGTCGGGGAGGACGGCCACAGTGATGCGTGTAGGAGAGCAACTGGTAAGCGCAGGGTACACGGTGACAGTACTTCTCCAAGCGTACGTAGACGAGGACTTGACGGCGAGGGAGTGTCGGCGACGAGCCAGAGATTTGATCCATGAGCATAGAGCCGATGTACTGGCGCGGGTGACCTTCCAGACCACGATTTTCTATGAGGTGATAATATGGTCACAAGGTTATATGCGCGCGGAGCACTTCCACGACGAGACGGTAGCGGAGGCTAGAGCGACGGTGAGAGGATGAGCTGAAAAAAGATGAGGACTGAGTATGGAAGAGGAGAGTGAGGCAGTCGAAAAAGTGAGAGAGCGCATTAAAGAACCACTCTTGAGCCAGGTAAAGGAGTAGGGGAACAAGTTAAGGGAGATCTGGTCGTGCCAGGATGAGGGCGAGTTGCGTAGGGCTGAGCTCGTGACGAGAGAGTTAGAGAGTTTGTTTAGGGAGGAAAGAGAGATTATCCAGGTGTGGAGATCAGACTTTCTGGAGAGGGTAAAAGCTAGAAGTGTATCACGCGAAGGAACTAGGGGGAGGTCTGCAGAGGGCGAGTCGACGGAGGACAAGGTAACGCAGGGAGGTAGCGACAGGACATAAGCGGGACTGCACTACACACGACGGATCGGTACTCATTGCATGTGGTAGGGAGACTGGACAGGCCGTTGGTGTTAGTGATCGTAGAGCTCCAGCTCCATACCAGATTGTGCATAGTTGAGGAGGCAGAGTGTCTCCGCCGTGCGCTGCGTGAGGCTAGGGGAACAGGACTTTGGATTGGAATAGAAGGAGGACGGAGGATAAAATACGTACTCCGAGTGACACCTTTCGAAGGGCGGTCTCGGATAAGGGCATGGTACGAGACGACCADAGAGGCTGAGAGRTTGAARATAARCGAAGCCARGAAAGCTGGAGAGTTAGGGAGAGTTGTAACAGAYGGTGCCATACTCAGGGTGCTAGCCGCTCACGATCGGTACTGGAAGGAATYGATAAAGACTTTAGAGGCCATAGAGGATAGTGGAGATAAGGAGGACTTTGAGACMTTCTAYGACATATTGGAGYTGTCGGCGATGAGGYTACGAGTGGTTATAGCACTGACTTACCTYAGGWGCTAGACAGATGACCTCATAGCCGTCTGGGAGTTAAAGGAGGAGAGATAGAGATTGGAAGCTCTTGGAAGGATAGTGGAAGCTAGAAGGGTCGACGAGCAACTTTGGATGGTAGTAGGAGAGGACCTTCCTCCTTTAGCAGGCTACCCGATTCAGGATGGGCTAGGAGATATAGCAAGGAGGACGGAGCTAGACATTCGGAGACTCTTGAGGGGTGCTGATCAGGAGACATTGGTTAGGCTTGGGACCGCGATCTGCCAAAGGAGTAGAGGCCCTGTCACGGGTGTACTGCAAATCCGGAGAGGCGCGGCCTTGTTGGCCGATCCCGAAGGAGAGGTTTACCTAGACACAGGGATTCTTAGGATAGAGGGAGAGCACGAGAGCCGCGACCGGAACGGAGTACTGGTGGTGGTAATCGGGGCAGTCGAGAGCTAGGATTGGAGGCAGACGCGAACCGTGACAAGGAAACAGGTCCGGGCTGCCGCAACTGTCACTGATCCGGGCTGCGAGTTCTGTCACAGGTCCGGGCTGCAGCAACTGTCATAGGCCGGGGCTGTAACTCTCGGCGAGAGTACCTAACTGCGTCCACTGGTGGCCTATGGAACCAGACACGATGGGATCACAACCGACCACGGCCGAGACAGGGCGGGAGTACAGGACATCGCTCGACCGAGCTCGGAGGGATGTGAAGGAACGAATTAGGCGGGACGCACCGCTGAGATGGGCTGACCAAACCAATGACGGAGAGCCCGACGTAATGGGTGAGCCGGTCGTGACAGAGCCGCAGGAGGCTCTGAAGACAGGAACCTCGAGCGGCCGACGACAAGCGACGAGACGACGCTCCCCCGAGTATGAGCGGAGGCAGACCATGGCGGATAGGCACAGGGACAACTGGAGAGAGAGTTCGAGGGAATCCTATTGGAGAGACAGAGACAGGGATAGAGCGCCGTCCAGGCGAGTCTTCGACCCCCAGACCGGGGAGTCACATTCGCTCCCTTATGAAGGCAAGGATCGCTATATTATTACGCACAAGGTCTCGGAGCCTCCTACTTTCAGGGGTTATGGCATCACAGAATATCTGGAAAAGTGGGAACTTCACGCCAGCCGGAGTCAATGGTCAGAGGAAAAGATTATAAAGAACTTCCTATTTAATGTAGATCCAAGTCTCGGCAAGGAAGTTAAGGAAGCCCGACCCAAGGATGGGAAATGGACTACGTACAAAAAGAACCTCGTAAAGCTTTACAAATTGGAGGATAACAAGTACTTCATCAAGGACCTCGAGACAATAACTCAAGATGGAGATGAGAGCGTACGGGCATTTGGGATGCGTTTCCAGAAGATCTCCGACGTGCTGATGAAGAAGAGGAAGATCTCGGAGGTCGAGCGCTGTACTATCTTCATCGGACACCTGTCCAAAGGTAGACAAAAAAATATACTTAGAGATCTTCCGCGGGACAAGCTTGACTTCCCAGAAGTCCTAAAGCTCGCGATAAAGGCAATGGCAGACGACTACAAGGACTTGGTGTGGAAAGGGATGAGGAGACGTGACTTGTCTCTCTACAAGGAGTATGCCACTGATAGATGTCTTGATTTGAAGGACTATCCCTGGTCGGAAAAGAATGAAGCTGTGGCCGAGGAAGTGAAGGAGATAAGGGACATGGTAAAGGGATTGACAAGACAGGTTACAAAGATTGTGACCACCACCGGAGCCACGGCATATTGGGACAAGCCCGGAGGGCCCTATTCACTTCGCTGGGACCGGATGAACACTGATTCCTGGAGGAGTGTCGAAGATAGTAATCCCCGAACGCTGACTAATTATCGTGCGAGGGAAAGGGAGAGAGACAATGAACCATGGGGGCGTAAGGATGATGAGATAGACCGGGACCGCAGGACTCGCGAGACGTACGGGCGTGCTAGGAGACTGGATGACTACTCGCGTAGCCCTCGCTATGAGCCTGACGGGGGTAGAGGCAACCCTCGAGGCCGGTGGGAGTCGGATCAGGATCAGCGAGACGGATACAGGGATGGCAGATATGCGAGATCGGACCGAGATAGACATACGGACGACAGATATGAGAGATCGGACCGAGATGGACATAGAAACGACAGATATGAGAGGATGGATCGAGACGAATACAGGGGCGGCAAATATGAGAGAGGGGATCGGCCCGGTGATTCACGCGGGCGGTACGACCGAGATGACCGGCGTGATGATTCACGCGAGCGGTACGACCGAGGAGACCGACGTGCTGATTCACGTGGGCGGTACGACCGAGGACACCGACATAATGATTCACGCGGGCGATACGACCGAGGAGACCGACGTGATGATTCACGCGAGCGATACGAACACGGAGACCGCCGCAATGATTCGCGCGACAGGAATGAGAGAGGGGGATATGGCGCTTCGACTGATCCGTATCCAAAGTCCCCTGACCCCAGAGTAGCCAGGGGTTCGACTTCTAGGAGCGCAGACAACAGGCCGCCCACTCCCCGGAACTCTTGCGTCTACTGTAGAGGGGATGATCATATCAAGAGAGACTGCCCGGATCTCAAACGGGCGATAGATGAGGGACTTATCGTGCTTGACGACCGCAAGTACGTCAAGTGGGCAGATGATCTGGGAGATGTATCGATGTTCCCTTCGATGAAGGAGAATGTCGAAGCAAGTAGAGTAAAGTCGAGTAAAGGAAAGGAGACGGTCAGGAGCCAGAGCATCAAGATAACTTTTGAGGGGGATATAGCGACCACACCCATAAGGGTGGCAGCCACCAAGTCGGCGAGAGGGTCTACATCGAAGAAGACTGACACAGATTACGTGATGGCGGAGAAGGACGGACAACGGATCGAGGGAGAGGAAGTTATTATTTCGCCGCGGAAGCGGGGAGTGAAAAAGTTCTTGATGAAGAGTTCGCTGGGCGAGATTGACACGGTCAAGCCACTGAGGCGGGCTCTTCAACAACCCATGCAGTGCTCTATCCTGGAGTACCTGGCGGCATCGAAGCCTGCTCGCGATGAGTTACAGATGATCACGCGGAAGACTCGCGTACCTCTATCAGAGGAGGCTCAGGGGGCCCCTAAGGCGGAAGCTCCTATTGTAGCAGTAACGATGTTTACTGCCAGAGCAGATCGCATGGCGACAGTCCTTCTTGATGGGATGGAAGGTGTGCCTCCAGACAAGTTTTACATACTTGGTAGTGGGACCGTGGAGGCGATCATAAATGACGGAGCGGTACTAGATGTTGTGGTCGATAACGGCAGTGAGGCTGTCATTATAGACGAGGGTCTGGTAGTGCAGGTTGGACTAGGCCTCGATAGGTCATACCTATTCGAGATAGATACGACTGATGGGAGAAAGCAACAGATTACTGGGGTTTGTCACAAGGCAGCCATAGAGGTACAAGGGGTACGAGTGACCCTGCCTGTCTTTGCAGTCAAGAACTGCAGCTCCGATCTGCCCTTGGGACGAACGTGGTTGAGCCACGTGCATGCGGTGACGATAGAGCGACCGGATGGGAGTCAGACATTGTCCAATAAGAAGCTAGACGGGACGCAGGTAATGATTGAGACAGTGAAGCCTCGGGACCCGAGGAACAGAGCAGCTCTCGCTGTGGGTGCAAGACCCAGTGATCAGATTAGGTCATTACCTATCTCCGACAGCGCGGTGTGATTTCGCGAAAAGAAGTATGGACCACTGCTCACAGAGGAAGAAGGTCGGATCGTGGAGGTGGAAGATTTAGGGAGTCAGCTGATAGTGGACGGCAACTCGTACCCAAAGGAGGTAGAAGAGGAATTTGGCGGGGTAGTATCTGTGTCTTTTTTAAGGGCACGGCCCCCTATAGGGGACTACCCAAGCGACACAAGTGAGTAACACAAAAAGTTAAACCAGCGGCGGTGGGCCGCGAGCGATCTGCACTGGAAGGGATATCGGAAGAAGAGATCGCAAAAAAAATCAAAGAAAGAAAGAAAGAGGAGCCGCAACGGCCAACGGAAGAGAGGATAGCAGGGATGGACATCGGAGATGAGAATCTGACCCCACAGCAGCGAGAACGTGTGATAGAAATCCTGAAGACATGTGATAAGGCAATAGCTTTCAGCGAAGCTGAGCACGGTAGGGTTGACCCTCGATACGCTAAGCCAGCAAGGATTTACACGATTCCACATGTTCCTTGGAATGACGCAGAATGGAAATACGCCCAGAAGGAGAAGGAAGAAGTTATCGCTTTCCTGAAGGAAAAGATGGTTTCCCATGTTGCGGCACCGTCACATAGCGCCTGTGCTAATCGATGGTTCTTCCTACGGAAGCCGAATGGCAAGATCCGATGGATCCAGGACCTTCAGAAGGTCAACGCGGTGACGATACGAGACGTGGGCTCCGTGCCACACGCCGACTTACTGGCCAAAGGCAGGTCGATTTATTCGGTTTGTGATCTGTTCTCAGGTTATGATGAGGTACCGCTTGATCCAAGGGACAGGCACCTCACGGCTATGCATACGCCATTGGGACTAATGGGACAGCCGTTTTTCAGAGAGCCATGGTAGTCGTCCTCAAGGACTTCATCCTTGATAAGTTTGAAGTTTTTCTGGATGGCTTTCCAATAAAAGGGTCAGTAAACAAGAATACAGAGGTTGTACCAGGAGTTAGAAGATTCGTCGAGCAGCACCTAACAAATATTTGCGCGGTACTCGAGCAGCTGGACGATGCGAATTTAACGGTCAGCGAAACAAAGAGCCGATGGGTCGTCTCGAGAGGACGCCGAGCAGATCCGGCGAAGTAAAACAAACTCCTGAACTGGTCGTCACCGTTACATAGTCCAACCGAGGTTTGACAGTTTCTGGGAGTGGTCGGTTACTGGCGTATATTCATACGAGGGTATGCGGAGAAGGCCGAACCATTGAGGTTACTCCTTCGAAAGACTGAGAAATTCTACTGGGATTCCTCACAGGAACTCGCTATGCAAGAGCTTAAAGACGAATTTAAGGACGGAGGACGCGTACTGGGCGTGCCATTCTTTGACGATGAGACCGAGAGACCCTTCATAGTATCCACGGATGTTGGACCGTGTTCAAAAGGTGGATTGTTGTCTCAAAAGGACGCCGGAGGGAAAGAGAGACCGTTAAGATTTGAGAGTAGCACACTTAATGCGGCTGAGCGTAACTACAGTCAATTCAAGAAGGAAGTGTTAGCTGTTCTGCGGTGTCTAGACACGTTCAGACACTATATCTATGGCCGTTGATTCATCCTGAGAGTAGACCCCACCGCGGTTCCMTCTGTCCTCCAGAAGGACTTTAGCCTGACAGACCCGACCATTGCACGATGGATAATACGGATTCGGCTATATGATTACACAGTAGAGAGGATATCTGGCACTAAAAATGCCGTAGCGGATGGGCTCTCTCGGATCCCTCTTGAGGGCGAACGCCCGATAGTAGCTGGAGCCTTGACAATGGTGGAGCCGAAACGCGCCGAACGATTTCTGGTTAACCTTTACGAGGGCAAATATCTAACGATCGGGCTACACCTTACAGGAGAGGAGAGTCAAGATTCAGATATCCGGAGACAAGCAGCCCAGTACTGCCTTAGAGCGGGCCACCTTTTCCGAAGGCCAGTAGGGTCGGGGATGCCCTTACGAGTGAGTAGTCTGTGATCCTGAGGAGAGACAGACGATAGTGGCGGAGCTTCACGACGGGGTGGTCGAAGGACATAGAGGAATCAGAGGAACCTATGAAAAAGTACGCAGGTTCTACTGGTGGGAAGGACAGTATAAGGACGTCGAGAGGCACTGTATGACCTGCGAGGAGTGCCAGAAGAGAGCTCTTGTGAAATACAAAAAGCCACTTCAACCATCGTATCCAACCAGACCGAGGGAGAAGGTACACATCGATTTGGTGAAGATGCCGAAAGGGGTAGGCAATATGAACAATGTCATGAATATACGAGACGACTTCACGGGGTTCGTGGACGGTAGACCTATCAAGAGTAAGACGGCAAAGGAAGTGAAGACCTTCGTCCTAGAGTACTTATCTAGGTATGGTTGCGTCAACAAAATAGTGATGGACAGAGGGGCGAAGTTTCTAGCTGACGAGGTTCAGAGTGTGTTCAAGAGAGCCGGGGCAAGAGTTTCGATAGCTACCGCATATCACCCACAGTCGAACACCCCCGTAGAGAGAGGGCATCAGACTCTGATAGCATCACTATCCAAGTGGTGCAAAGGTAAGGACAGTGATTGGCCACGATATTTTCGATACGCGATATGGGCGGACAACGTCACGGTCCGGGCTAGCACTGGATACTCACCATACACCTTGTGGTTTGGGCGGCATTGTCCGCTCCCCATAGAGTTTCACGTCGACTGCTTGTCAACCGTCGACTGGACGGAGGAGATGTCCAAAGAGGAACTCATAGCTGCCCGAACAAGACAGATAGCCTATGGTTTAGAGGATAGTCTTATGACAGCGGCAGATCGTCTGGCAGTAGAAAGGGACAAAGGTAAAGAGAGATGGGATAAGAACGTGCGAATCAGGAAAGAGAGGGTGAGCGTAGGAGATATGGTCCTTCTCTACGACGCGGCACTAGAGAGGACCTGGACCGGAAAACTCGCCAACAGATGGATGAGACCTTACAGAGTGGTTGAGGCACTCGACTGGGATGCATATATGATAGCAGAATTAAACAGATCCAAGTGGAAGGACCCAGTGGCGGGTGCTAGGTGAAAGTTGTTTAGACCCAGGCCCGCACCCACCTTATCGCTGACAAGCCCGAAAGGGAAAGGAAAAGTCAGAATGGAGGATGAAGCCCCCTTGATGCGATTTGAGGCAGGGAAGAGTTCCAAGAAGAGGAAAAGAATAGAGAAAAGAAAGGTCAAAGGGTTAGCCTTAGGAAGAGAGAAGAGATGGTTATTCATGCTCAAGAGGGCTAGACGGAGAGTTCGCATTAGACGTACTGGTGGGTCGACACCCTTCTCGGGGCAAAGACGGAGGAAAAAGACGATCGTGCCGAGGCCAAAAACCAGCAGGAACAGGAAAGTCAAGAAGCATCTTCTTAGCCCCAGGACTCATAACAAATTGAAACATATGACAATTGAATGCCGACATGGGCGACCTTTACGGGCCATCACCCTGAAGCTCTTCCGCTTCGTGTGACGTAAGTGGTTAGGGCTCGACGGGGGCGTCGAGAAGAGGTCCGGGCTAACTGTCACGCGGCCACAACCAGTGCGCCGCCTAAAATCTGTGGACAAGTCCGTGTTTTGACGGTGCTCCGGGTTGACCAGGCAGCAAAGATTATGGGAGTTCAGGGCGCCCCTGACTTTGGGCACACTGAACCTTACGAGTAGCCCTCAAAGATAGCAAGATGGGTGGCCGCACACGACCCATCTAGAGACCGTCATTTCTGGCTGTTCCGAGCCTAGACGTGGGATGGCCCGCCGCGGAGAGGCATCGCGGGAACTGACCTCGCCGCAACGTTTTTCCAGCATACGACCGGGGCTGAAATGACGCCTCAAATATTTTTTCTACTTTAGTACCATAATTAAAGATGGGAAAAAGGGATTAAGACCAGTAAGGGAGAAGAGAAAACCATAATATCCCTCAATTTCTTTATTTTTCACGGCATCTATTCTAATGGGAAATACCCTTGTTATTTTATGTTCCCGACAATGAAAATAAAAACATAGAAAAAGATTAAAGATGGTAAAAGAGAAAAGAAACAAAAGAAATTCGGCCATTTATTTAAACTTTCTCGGAAGTTAATTTTGGGGAATTTACGATTAATTTACTATTTTCGACAATAGAATTAAGGAAAACGAAGAATGATTAAAAACGATGAGAGGGACGGGAACCCATGACTATTGGGAGATTGGCCTAATTTCGCCTCGATTACCCTCCATCAGCAATGACCCTCGATTGATCATTTTCTCTGGATTCCAACGGTTTTTCACTTCTGCCTATGGCCGAGATTCCCTACGTCGCTTTCCCTGGGTTGCTTGATTACTAACATCACCGCAGTTGGGACGTTCTGAGAGCAGGGGTCGCGTGGACAGCATAAGGGGGGGGTGCTACCTTGGGTCGACGGTATGGTATTTGGCTCGGTGCGGATACATAGTTCCGAGAGGTTCGGCGACATTCACGTTTTTCGACATTCAACGATGGCCGACGTATTTCAGGCTCGATATTCGTTCTACAGTTGATTATTCTAGGATCGAGTTTAACTCGCCGTCGACATATATCAGGTTCGGTACTACTACTAAGGTGTCGCATTCTACGGTACTCTGCGTGTTTCAGGCTCGATATTGGTTCAACGTCGTCATGGTACACTTCACGACATCGTTTTCAGGTTCGGTAACGCCGCGGCAGCGACATGAGTCGGTATTGGCTCGACATGGACATATCTGAGATTCGGTATTATCACCAGGTTGCGATATTCTACGTTACTCGACATACTTCACGCTCAAGTTTGATAATCAGCATCGACTTGGTACACTTCGTTGTATCACTTTCAGATTCGGTATTATTACGGAACTCCGGAACTCTACGGCATTCGACTTTCGTCTGCCTGGGTGCTGGTTCGACATCGACATATTTCGGGTTCGGTGTCTTTACTGGGTTGTAGCATCCTATGGTATGGCATTGGTTCGGCTCCGGCTTATTTCAGGCTTGGTATTGCCTGGACGTCGACACGTTTTCATGATTGGTATTGTTACGGAACTCTGGCACTCCACGGTATTTGACATTCATCGGGTTAGGTATTGACTTGACATCGGGACGGTACTGGCTCAGTTCCGATATGGTACTGGCTACTGCAGATCAAGTCGGCTATTTCAGGTAGGGGCTTAGCTCGGAATTGACACGGTGCGACTCGGCAACTCGAAAGAATTATTCCGGGCCCGGTGAAGGTACGACACAGCAGCCTGCCATTTCTGTTGAGGATGGTCCTTGGGCCGGCATCGGCTAGTTCTATACGGAGCCAGGACACTACGATTGAATCCTGTAGCCCTGTTACTCAAACCAGTACTCGAAGCTGGATTACTGAGGAGGTCTATTGCTGCAAATTTGGAGGCTGTATCGGCAGGTACGCCCACGACTGGAGCTCCCTCTGAAATGGTACCCAAATTCATGGCCTGAAATGGGCCGATGGACCGGGCTGCCAGCCTGAGGATGGAAGCCTGGTAGCTGCAGTCCGCTTGCTCGAGACTGAAAGGCAGGTGCTGGGGGTGAACTCAAGGCAAAGGGAAAAAGAGGTTGAGCTCGGACAAGCATGGCAATCGGTAGCCTGACGTTAGAGATCACTGGTATGATACCCTGGTTAAAATGGGACAGCAGCAGTCCACTGCTTTACGCCAACTTGGCTTGCTACTAGATTCACAGGCTTGGACCGGCCATGGCTATCGAGCTGACTGGTATACGGCTATCTGCCACGACATTTGTCCCGGGGAGTCTTCCTTGCGTTTTCCACCCTCCTTTTGGCAGAAGCCGGCCACCCGAACGAGCAGCCCTCTGCGGCAAAAAGGCCAAACCAAAGAGGAGCTGCGCGAACAGGATATAAGAGAGACCAGCAACGAAAAAGGGGGGTATGCAAGGTGTACCCAACGCTTAGCAAATGAAGGCAGGCGGTTGCAGGGCAGGCGGTCTGA